CTTTCCCTTCGCTTAATTTTAAAAATGGACCTTCCGGAAGTGAGCTACCTGCTTTGCACGTGCGTTCGCGACGGCGCAGACCGGCTCCCCCAGGCCTTGCCTCCCGTCTGGCGAGAAAACGTCCCTCCGTCGCCAAGTGCAGGTTACCCCCAGCGTGTGCCGGTGTGGAGGTGACACCAGGCCTGCTTTGCCTGGCCGGGGTCGCAGCCTCCCAGGGGCCTGTCCTGGAGCCCCAGTGGCTGCTTGCTGTCAATGTCCACCTTGAAGCCCTCTGCTCATACCCGCGCGAGCCCTCACTTCTGGTCCCTCCACAGCATGCCTGCTGCCCATGCTCTGGACACTCGAGGTCCCATGGTCGTACTGGGACAGGAGCCCAGGAGAGCATTGCCTGGGCTCTCAGCAGAACAGAGAAGCTGCTGCCTGATGACAGTCACTTAAGGCCTCGCCAGCTCTTGGATCCGCCCGAGATACCCAGCCGATCCTGTCATCTTAGGCGAGAAACCGATTAGCACCCCCAACCTGAAGCCCTGTCTCTCTTGTTCACTGCCATGTCCTCCCGAGGGATGGGTGGGCAGCTGCCACTTCCCCACCTCCCGCGGGGCCACCCGTGGAGGGAAACCGAGTCTGCCTGCCTTGGGGATGACTCAGGCCACTTGCGCTGTGGCCCCCCATTACCCTGCTGTCCTGCCCCGCCCTCCATGTGCCACTTGTCTCAGTGCTCCCCACTGCACCCCAGGACACTCATCCCTGTACACGCAGCCCAGGAGTTCTCCTCCCACGGGCTGTGGAACCCCAGCCCCCCGAGTTGCACCGTGAGAAGAAACACGAGGCCAGGGGCCTGGGGACCTTGGGCTCCCTGTCACCTCTTAGAAACGCACATGTCACCATGGGTTTCGGAGAGTCTGCAGGGGCCCACGGGGCAGACCCTGTGTGACCGCAGCCCCCAGAGCTGAGACGCTTCCGGGCACCAAGCCGCAAACCTCGCCCAGAACCGGGCCGGGAGGGGCTTCGGGATCCCAGACCAGTGTTGAGGCGGCGAACGCCGTCCCCTCCGCAGGCCTCCGGGGCCCTGGCCGGCGTACGGAGTCTCTGCCCTCAGGCCCTTCCCCTTTACGCCATGCGCCACCCTCCACGCTGGCAGGAATGTGTCCTC